TTCTATTAAAATTAAGTTGATTTGGGGATAACCATATCTTTATAATATTGATCCTTCACTTACATGAACATAGCTTTGAAATCTCATTTCATCATATTATCTCTCCACTACCTCTCACTATTGGTGTCATCTCGCTACTCCTTCTTTCCTCCTCATTTCTCAATGACTTTTGTTTGGGCCTCGCTGATATTTTTCCAAGATCTATAGAGACAATTTTTCAACAACATTCAAACTACTTGGAGCTCCACTTCTCCCATATCTTTCCTTCCATTATACTTCATTGAGCTATTCCCATAGTCAATTCCATGGGAATTTATATTACCAATAATTGCAATGACTTCAATCCCTTCAATTTTGTTTATTCATCCTATTCATCTATTCTCTTGGAATTTTAATTTCCCAGAACATACCTCAGAGAACAAACTGTTGGCACACCCATATAAAAGGATTTGATGAAGAAAAGGGTGAAAATAAAAAGTAGATCTGCTTTGTTGTCTAATGTTATGCTTGAACACAATTAATTCCTTTATTACTAAAGACCTGAAACATTGCTCATATCCCATTTGTTTGTGTGAAGTTTCAAAGTAAATGAGAAAAAGAATCAATTTGTTCTAAATGTATGACCATCTGAATTCATAAAACAAAGCAGGAAATTCAATGAAAAGCATCTCATTCACTGCTAAAACAGTATACATTTTCTGGTGGTTATTTAGAAACATGTATCATGCGTTTTTAAAATACTAATTTCCTTTGGCCATCAATTCCTCTCATAGGAATTTATCCTGAAGAAGCAAAATAAAATGTGGGTAACATTCCATGCATAAAGATGTTCGCTACAGTGTTATTTATAACAACAATTAATGCTCAAGAGTTAGAAAATGATCCAGTAGTAAATAGCTATTGTACAGACATGTTTATAATATTTTTAGTGATATAAATTGCTTTTTGGTGCTGTTCTGCTTCTTTAAAAGCAAGACATGAAAAGTATATATGGTACTAACTTAAATTATGCTTCAAAAATAGAAAATAAATAAACCTAGAAGTAAATATGACAAAAGATTAATAGTATTTGTGCTTTTGGTAGTAAGATTATGGGTGGGTGGGTGAATGTGTTTTCCTCTGCTTCTAATAATTATCTATACTTTTTAAATTTACTACATTAAACATTGACTACTTTAATAATCAGTAAGGAGAAAATAAATTTAAAGAAATGTAAAGAATATCAAGGAAATAAAACAATGTTTAAATAGTCAAGACAGACCATTTTATTTCCTCTTACTGGCTAAAGTTTTTTGTGAATTATATAATAAAAGCCTAAGCAACCTTTATGGCAGAATGACCAGAACTACTGGCCGCTACAATGCACACTGACCACCAGGGGGCAGACACTCAATGCAGGAGCTGCCCCGTGGTGCTCAGTGCGCTTCCATAGGAGGAGTACAGCTCAGCCAGAAGCTAGCTCATGTTTGGCAAGTGCAGCAGTGGTGGCAGAAGCCTCTCCCATCTCCGTGGCAGTACTAAGGAGCAGTGAGCCGAGTGGTAAGAAGCAGTGAGCAGGCAGGTGGTAAAAAGCGAAGGGTCCTGGACTGTGAGAGGGTGCAGGCCAGGCTGAGGGATGATGCCCGCAAGGGACAAATTCTGTGCAACAGGGCCTCTAGTCCTATATAATAAAAGGCTAATAGGCAAATAGACCAAAAGGCAGAATGACAGGTCGCTATGACACACGCTGACCACCAGGGGGCTGACACTCAACAAAGAGTTGCTCCCTGTTGATCACTGCGCTCCCACAGGGCGAGTGCTGCTCAGCCAGAAGCCAGGCTCAGAGCTGGTGAGCACAGTGTCAGTGGCAGGAGCATCTCCTGCCTCCGTGGCAGTGCTAAGGAAGTCCAACTAATGGCTTAGGCTCACTCCCTGGGGGAACGGGCCTAAGCCATCAATCAGATATCCCCCAAGGGCTCCCAGACTGAGAGAGAGTGCAGGCTGGGTTGAGGGAGTGCCCCCCCCCGCTCCCAAATGCACCAATTTCATGCACCAGACATCTAAGTATTTAAATAGGATGATTTGCTTGCACATTGATTGTGTTCTGCTGCATCAGTAGTAAATTTCCACATAAGAACATTTAATACAGGTTTTTCAGAGAGAAAATGGTACAAGGATCTTTAGTTTTCAGAGTCTCTTGCAAATACACTAGTTAGCCACTATTTTTTGGAGGTTTATATACCAGTCCTGCAATATAGCACTGCATGCTCCAAGTTATCACTTCCTAAAAACAAAGAAAAGTAACCCAAAAGCTAGACCTGTTTATACAGTATATTTGATGCTGTGATTTTTAACATTCATTTAATGAAGTCAGTCTTTGATGACTAATATTGCTTTGCCTGCTAGTACCAAACCTGAAATAAGGTTCCTGACTAGATTACATTCATGCAGGTCTCATTTTAACGGAAATTGGAGAGATGGAAAAAGATTACAAGAAGAGACATTATGAAAACAGACCTCACAAGTCAAAATTAATAGTAAAATCGTTCTCTTTCATGTAGACAACCATGAAAACAAATATCCTGTGAGCTAGAGATATATACTGTATCTTTCCAGCAGATCTTTATGCTTTCTTGAGACAGATTTCCATAACTATATAATGTGATTATAGTTGATGAAGCAATGGCCCACCGAAAGGCTGATAAAGCATCAGGTTCCAGGAAACCAGATAAACATGTTCATGATTTTTAACTGTAAAAAAGGTAGAATAGTAGTGGGTATGAAGATAGAATCCAAAAAACTGAGAAAATATTGGTTCCTCCAACTTTAAAAATAAGCTCTAACTGTCTTATTTCAGTAATCCTTTGGGATATATTCATGTTATTTGCTTATTGAACTGGTAAACAAGACTACAAAAATAGACTGCATGACTTTAACATGTAATATGAATATTTTATAACTCTGGAAGAGATATTTTAAACAATAACAACAAAAACATAACTATAAAATTAGGGTTAGAATTTAATATGGCCCAAAATTAAAAAGCACTATAATTTCAGGGTTTCCACAAAGTCTTTATTTAGCAAGGATATGAGGATAGACAATGCTGTTTTTTAGGAAAGAAATAGGTCTCATTTTGGAGGAGTTCGTGGATTCTTGTTTGCAGTAGGCAAGCTGAAGGGTGCACATATGCTGTGCATAAAGAAGAAAAGACTAGTCTCCTTTATGAATTTAGAAATTCTGGCTTAAAACACTTTTAATAAAATTCATATAAATTGACTATATTTTCTCACAATTATCAGTAGCGTGTGTATGTGCCAACTGTAAGTCACCAACTGACAGGAAAACCACCGAAGAGTAAGAAGTTGTGTGTTTATCTCAAGATAGTAGAGATCTTCATAGGGAACCCAAACTTAGAGTGCTAAGACTCAGATTAGTACATCTGATTAAAGCCTCTGCTGTAAGTTACATTCTCAAGATTCAGTAACATAGACTGGTAAATGCACTTTGGAATTATCAATTATCTTGATGGGACAAGCTGGACAATCCTAGGTTCAGGTGAGTGCCTGTAGGTAAAGTACAGGTTTTCTTAAGGTTGGTAGAGAGAGAAATATTGTTCCTCTTACTATGAAAGGGGGTGGGGGGGGGGGAAATACCAAAAAGGATTTTTCCCATGAAAGAGAAGTAAAACCCAGAAACAAAGGTAGGAACTCAAGTTTATCCTTGAGCAGCTCTCTGTGTAGGGTGTAATTTCCCCTCAGTTCTCCTAAAATGCTGAGATAAATCATATGTAGCTAACAATGTTCAGAGCTCTCCCATAAATTTAATTCCTTCCAGTTAAACCCCAAACTTTAGTAACATTACACACAGGAAGTTCTGTGTCAGTGATGTTGTGGGGAATTGGGAGAAACAGCAGTAAAGTTATTGATACATGGCTGTTCCTGACCCCTCCCTCTTCTGCTAGAGCCAGTGGGCCAGTATAACAGCACTGAGTCAAGGAGGACTCCAAGTCCCTAAATTCCAGATGTTGACCACTGTCTGATACACAATTCAAGTTGCAGTTAAAAAGAATAGAGAGAAGCAAGGAAGAAGGTAAAAGAGCAAACAGGAGAGATTGACTTGAGAGAGGAAATTAAACAACCTCCTCACATTCTCCGAAATATACTAAAAACTAGATGACCCTGAATGAAAAAGGCATTCATCTCCTTAAAAAAGTCATATCACTATGTATACAAAGTTTATGCAAAGCCTTTCGTGATTAGTTGTCTCAGTATAACAGAATGATAACTGATTTTTTTATTATATTTTCATGCTTGTTCCAAGCATATGTATTTAGTTCTCTCTTCATCAATACACTCTCCCATTCAAAGAAGACTTGAACAGGATTATGAAATCATATACAGTTAGAAAATGTAAATAAAATCATAATTAAAGACAAATTATTATGATCTGAATTTTTTGAAAAGTCAGTACACAGAAACACAAGCAAAAAAGTTTTCTAAAATCATGAGAGAGGGCTATAAAATTGACTGAGTTTTCCAACAGCATAAGCAAAGGGAAAATAGAATTGAGTTGCAAGAATCATATTGTTTTTATGAGATAAACATCTTATTGAATAGGAGAAGAAAAGCTTTTCCTGTGAGAATTGGCCCTGTGAGAATTGTATAATGATTTACAGGTTTTTATAGAAGAAATGATATAGAGAACATACCATGATAAACATAATACAAGTCACCTCCTATAGTTTCTGACTGTATTCCTCAAGGAAGCCTACCATATTAAGTTAATGCTTCAATTTCTAAAGCTTACTTTTTGTTCTCAGTTATCTATTTTTATTATTTAATAATCTTTGGATAAAAAAGACAACATATTATACCTATTTATCTATGTCTCTTGAAACAAAACTGTCTCACTGTTATATATGCACAGCATGGTCATGACTTTTTTAATATTCCTAATCTAAAACAAAAACATAATCTTCTTACCGAATCCAAACTGAAGGCATCCACTATTTCCCTTACCTGTGATTCTTTCACATTTTCAACAGTAAAGTTGAACCAGACTCGGAAACGTGGATTACAGGTATCCGGCCTAATGAACAAATCATATTCAAACTCAGAGACCTGGTCCACCCGTCCAAGGTTACCTGGGAATAAAAATTAAGAAAACTGGATTTTAATAGAAGTTCATGCATTTTAAGGGTACATACATTTTTAAATATTAGGAGTTACTACAGTGACATTTGTCATCATTCTTGTAGGTACAGTATTCACAATTTCTAAGGCTGCTGACTCCAAATGCAGACCAGAGGCTTTGAGCTAAGCCAGGCTGTGATGCAAGCGGCTTTTTCAATCTTTATCATCTAGCAGATCTTTTTGTGTTTTAGATTGGGACACTGTATGGAGCATGTATCAAGGTCCAATAAATCAATTAAGAATTACAACCTGCCCTCACTGGTTTGGCTCTGTGGATAGAGTGTTAGCGTGTGGACTCAAGGGTCCCAGGTTTGATTCCAGTCAAGGGCATGTACCTTAGTTGCGGGCACATACTCAGTAGGGAGTGTGCAAGAGGCAACTGATTGATGTTTCTCTCTCATCGATGTTTCTAACTCTCTCTCCCTCTCCCTTCCTCTCTATAAAAAAATCAGTAAAATATATTTAAAAAAAATAATTACAACCAAACTTTAGTTTCCTAGTTCAAAAAACAATGATGATAACACCTTAATATTTTGAATTAAGCTTTATGGTATATAAGCTACTTTTGACATTTTTGATCTTATTTAACTCTCAAGTGCAGTAGGGCTATGCATTTGTACTGTTTGGTGTATCTTCCAACTTCTATCAGAACATGTTAAAGGTTTTAAACAAAAAATTAGAAGTAGTTACTCTGTAAGAATAACTATGATAAACTTACAACTATGAAGTTATTTTCCATTTTTTCCAACAACAGAACAGTTATATTAAAAATGTACAAACAACACATTGCAGGCAAATCACGAGCATTCTCATGTTTTCATATTACCCAGTGCTTTATATAAATGTTAAAGGCAAGCCTTAAAATTAAATACCCATTGCATTTTGAAGTTATTTATTACATGTTCTTAGAAGCTAATATTGTTTTAAAGTATGATACTTTGTAAAATGTTTTCTGTACTCATTCAATAGAAACTTATCTAGCCACTGGGTAAAGCTAGCAGTAAAACTACGGGTGCACAATGTGTTAAGTTTGAGTTCCATTCTTTGACTTTCCTCTCTCGGATATTCAAACGAATAGTGAATTGCCCAAAATGTTAATAGTAAGATAAAATAAAATAAAAAAAGAGTTTTGTGGAATTCCCAAATCAGATCATCAACAGTTAAAGAAGAGTAAAGATGACTATAGACATCAACAAAGCAATTGACTGAGAATCTAGTGTTGTATTGCATATGAAGAGCACGGCAATATGTTGCTTTAAAATGAGCTCTAGAGTTTTTGGTCAAAAGAAAAAATACCAAAGCAACTCAGAATTAAACTTTAACCAAACATAAATAGAAAATATTTAAAGCAAAAAAAGAAAAGTAGCCATGATACATACAAAAGAACAACAATAAGGATGATCATTGACTTTTTCTCAGAAATTATGGGGGATAGTAATGAAATATTTAAAGTGATGAGAGAACAAAACTCTCAATATTCAATATCCAGTGAAAATATCCTTAAAAATGAGGGTGAACTAAATCATTTTCAGATAAACAAAACTGAGGGAATTAATTTCCAGCAGACCTGCATTACAAGCAAAGCCAAAAGATATTAGATGGAATGCATGTCTATAAGAATAAATGAACACCATAAAATATTAAATAACATTTAAATGCAAAAGCCTTTGTCTCAGAATTTTTAAAAAGGCAATTGACTGTTTAAACAATGACATTTAAACAATGACATACACTGTATAAAGCTTGAGATAGAAGCAGAAGCAGTATTAATACAAAGAAATGCAATGAGTGGCCAGATTATGACCAACCCATCAGTACTTCTTTGGGCCACCTTTTTCCTTTAATACTGCAGTGATTCTTCTTGGCATTGATTCCATGAGATGTTTAAAAGTGATGTGAGGAATCTGACACCATGCATGATGTCCAGTTCTGTGAGATTTGATGGTTGTGGAACCAGCTGCCTGATGGCTCTTTTAACTTCGTCCCACAAATGCTCAATTGGATTGAGATTTGGTGATTGTGGGGGCCATCTAAACAAGGCAAAGTCTCCCTCATGTTCTTGAAACCACTCCTGCACAATACGAGCACTGTGGCATGGCGCATTGTCTTGTTGGAAGAAGCCATCTCCATTGGGATACACCATCACATGATAGGATGAACTTGATCAGCAATAATACTTAGGTATGTTGTCCTATTCCAATGTTGTTCCACACAAGTTAAAGGGCCCAAATGATGCCAGAAAAACATGCTCCAAATCATAACACTGCACCCAACATGCATGTACTCATGCATGTGGGGGTGTATGCTTTCATGTTGTTTCTGCCAAATTCTCACTCTGCCATCTGCATGATGCAACTGGAAACATGATTCATTGGACCACATGAGTTTTTCCCAATATTCGACTGTCCAATCCTTGTGTTCCTGTGAGAACTGGAGACATTTTATCTCGGTAACTGCAAAATTATAGCTAATTTGCCTACAAACATCAGGTGGTCATAATAATCTGGTCACTCAGTGTATATTGCAATGGGTCAGAAAAGAATTAATGAGAGATCACGTAAAACAGTGAGAAGAATTCGCCGGTATATATTAATGTGTTAACTTTCATGGGAAAGATGAAGCAAAATAGTCACAATTATGGCAAAAAGTAAAAGTAGTGAAATTTCCTTTCAGCAAAAAACAACAGTGAGGTCATCTTAGATATAAATTCTTGAAGGATTGAATTATGATTTAGCATGTTTGGACTAGAATAATCAAAGGTTTCTTCTAACCAGAGGTAGATTTACTGTGAATCAAATGAAGCTTAAGCTTTAAGGTTTCTCACGTACAAAGGCCCTTATGCAGTCTGAGAGTTGCAGAGAGTATAATACAAAGAAAAAGCAAGGCTGCACTTGTTTGAAGCATATCCTGTAAATAAGAGATTTCAGCAGAAAATCCCTAAAAAAACAATAATTTATTGTGATATTTCTTACTGTAACGATATAATTTTATATTAATAATTTTGTGAAATTATCTTAGAGACCACCCTCTGAAATTATATAAGCTTCAAGCTGTACAAAACTTAGAATGGTCCTTGCTTCCTGAGTTTCTGTAGCATTAAGAAACAGAGTTATAGTATGACTCATAGAGTTGAGGGCATATTTTCATCTTCATCTACAGAAACTGATTTTCCATGTAAACAAACAAGTTGATTTCCTTAAAATATATTAAGAGCTATTAACTAGCAATTAAACATTGAATACATGATGAATAATTAATGCTTTATATCTCGCCATCCAATGATGAATAAAAATAGAGATGTGAAGGTTGAGTGACATTTTCAAAGTCATTCTTCTTCAAAAGTTAATAATGCTTTCTGGGTACATATTTTTAGTGGATGGACTATTGATTAGAATTGCAGTCAGAAGACCTGGTTATAGCTCTGGGTCTATCATTTATTACCTTTGTGACCTTGGGCTTATGATAGAATTACCTCTTCTGTAACTCTGGTTCTCACATCAACTTCTCAGTTAATCTTCTTTTACTCGGTCTGTAGAAACAAATTCCTAACTGATCTTCATGCCCCATAGCAAGACCTCTACTCTCATATCATATGATTTCCACAGAGCCTGTCATAAAAAGCCTCTATAACTAGGTCCTTATATACCTGTGCAAATTCAGCTATCATTTGAGTTCTTGGGGAGGGGGGATTGGTAACACAAATTTATTCACTGTTATCTTGGCACATTTACTTAAGCTATTCTCGTAGTTTGGAGTCCTCTCATCATCTATGCTTTTCATTGAAGGTATCTTCCAAGCTATTTCAAAAATTAATCTTTCCCCATCATCTTCTCATATTTTTTCCAATCACTTTCTTTATTATTCATTTATAATGCCCATCAAATGGTAAAGTGGTTGAGGACGTTAGCAGTGAATGAGACAGTCCTGCTCTCAAGTCTTTGCTCTACTACTCACTAAGTTGTATAACTTTGGGAAAGTTATTTAACCTCCTTGAAATTCAGTTTTCATTTACTAAGTGGACCATACGTATAAGGTATCTTCTACATGCATGGAAACCAGCAGAAATTATGTGAAGAAGAAGCAGCATAACCCATCAGGCTTCCATGTCTAAGAGAATTGGGCTTACCAAAGTTCATTTTTTGTCAGTCGGTGGAATGAGGGTAGGGTAGAAATGATGGGTAAGAGATTTCTGATTGGCTTTCCCAGTTAATAATAAGGGAAAGCCAATCAGAAACCTCTTACCCGTCATTTGTTTTTTGTTTTGTTTTGTTTTGTTTTTCTATTTGTAACTTTAGTATTCTCAGCAAAAAGGAGTATTGAATGGTTTGATTCATTAAAGAAATTCCAATCTATACCCAAACAGGATTAGTTACCCTCCTTTGTTTCTAATGGAAATGTTCAAGTATTTTCTGAAAGTTAGTCAAATTGATATGTGAAACATCTTAATTCTCTTGTTTGAAAAAAAAAATTAACCAACTTCTATCTTTATGAAATATTCACTTAATTATTTATTGAGTATAAATTATTGGTTAACATAAAATTATTATTATAGTTATGATAGTGAACAACATAGACACAGTCTCTATCTTTCGGTTCTTATGCTGTCCTAGAGAATATAAATATAAATTTAATCACTTGAAGTATAATGAGGGTTATGAAGAAAAGATACATTCCTGGTATCATAAAAGCATACAATAGAAGAAATTAATCTAGTTTATAGGATGAAAGTAGGCTATCTTTTTTATTTTTTTAATCCTCACACAAGGGGATATGGGGCTTTTTTAAATTGATTTGTAGAGAAAAAGAGAAACACTGTTGTGAGAGAAACATTGATCAGCTGCCTCCGAAATGCTCCATGACTAGGGATGGAACATGCAATCTTTTAAATATATATATATATATATATATATATATATATATATATATATATATATATATATAGTTTTTTTTC